CGGGCCTCGGGGCCCTTCAAAAACGGCTCAGGATGAAAAGCAGGTCCCGGGGAAAGGGTGGGGACTTCCAGGGACCCCGTATTGAAACAATATGGACGTCGCATGTCTGGGATTCGGAACAGCCCATCGTAGGTCGGATCCGACTCTTTGACTTGACACCAAACACCAAAACAAACAAGTGATCATCAATTTCAATCCAGACATGGGGAGCTGCCACTCGCGGACAAGGTGACGACGTCCAACTGATTTGAACCAGCGATGACGGCGACGAAAATTGAGGTGGTGATGACGACGACGAGTCGTGGCATGATTCTGGAGGTGAGGGCGAACACGATGGCGCTGTTTTCCTGGCATTCACCATGTCGCCAACCGTGGGCATCGTGATCCAACGGCTACAGAAGGGCGATGATGGCGGCAAATTCTGCACAACTTATAAGTACAGCGAGCGAGCTACCACTGGAACAATCACGGGCCCGGGCCATTTTGGCGAAGACAGCGTAGATACGACCGTGGTCACTGGCATGTGCTGTACAGCGCTCCGTGGGACATTGGACAAGTTGTAAAAGGTGGAGAGCTGGGGGAGGAAAGATGGGTCCTGTCCTGTCCTGGTCAGGGTGCTCGTCGCTGGTTGGCACTTGCTTTGGTGTGGAAATCGGCGTGCGTTGTGATTACCTCCGGGTTGCTGCGTCGTTGAGTGGCTCTGTGCGATTGTAGTCTTAGGTCGGGCCTGTCCGCCTACGGGGGAATTGTTGGCGGGAAAAACAACAGTCAAACAAATACTCAGAACATACTCCAAACTGTGCAAACAATCGTCCCCGTACAATTTTTTCACCGTTTTTGAATACTCCTCCTGTAGAGGGACAGGCCCGACTTAATTGTAGTCGTCCTCGACGGAGAGAAAAAAAGTACAAAAGAGTCAACGGGCAAGCACGCGAGTGGCCCTGCCGCAGAATGGCGGCATTTCGCGGCGACAGCGGCAAGAGAAGTTGACTAAGGTCTGCAAGAGTGCATTTCTGACAACTCGCCGTGCCCTCCTCCTCACTCCTATCCCTCCCATCCCTCCCTCATCCTCCCTCCTCTATGGTCCTTCTCCCACTTCCATCTCTCCCCCGCCCTCCGCCATTGTACGCGTCCATCTGTGAGCCGGATGGGCACCAGGGCAAGCGTGTGAGGTGAGGAAGTCTCTCCCCCCTCCCTCCCTCCGCACCTTCCGAATTACCCTCCCCGAAATCCAACGTCACGAAGAATTGCAACGTCGCAGGTAATCGCGACTAGGCAATAGACTTCACCTATCTGCAGCACTTCCTTAGCTGGAGCGATCTGTGAGGGTTCCGGGGCTTGAAAACACGAGAACGACCTCTGTGAAAAATTGCAGCCCTCCTCCCTCATCCCCTCCTGTATGACGTCCTGGAGGGTTGTGGTTTCTGTTGGCATGGCGAAGGCGTGCAAAAGAGCAAACGGGCGCTTGAGGCAGCGGCAGGCCTGGGCGTGGCCCTCAAGTAAACAAGCACTGGAGCCGGAGGCGCGTGCGGCGCGTCAGCACCGAAATGACCGAACGGCCTTCATTCACGTGGACGTGTGCGCCGCGACCCATGGTGCGGCTCCCTCTTTAGGGGCCTGCGAACAGCGTCCCTAGTACTAAGTATTGGTGTCGTCTTCCTCCCGCCACCCTTCCTCACTCACCTCTCACCCCCTCCGTGCTTCAAGGGGCTTGCTCCTGCGTCCTCCGCCTCCTCTGCCTCCTCCCTCCATCCTCCTACTCCTCCACAACCTGTCTCACTCCTCCTCCCCATTGTCCTTCCACTCTCTGGGTTTCCCCAGGGCCACAGCTCCGGCCGAGAGAAGCAGGTCGATCCCGAGGACACGCTGCCCTGAGAAGGACTTCGGGAAGAGGACGAGGAGGAGGAGGATCAGAACGAGGACCGATGGGCGGACCGTGTTTGATACTCCTTGCGGCCCTCCAGCCAGTGGCCTTCAGAAGCACTTGTGTTTTGCGCCTGTTTCCTAACCAAACAGCCATCGGGACACTTCCGGAATCACGCGGGGGCCGCTGGAGACAAGAGGACGAGCACGAGAGAGCACGCCGAGGTCACGGCACCCCGCCTCGACTGGCGAGCGGGGCTCTGGGCTCTGAGGCCTGAGATCCCCGAACAGGAGCCCAGCTGAACTGCCCCGTTACGCAGCACGCGACACGTGGCGTAGTCACACGGAGCTCAGCGCGTAGACTGAACACGTAGGTCTGACGCGATACGTTCGCCCAAAACCGGAGCCAGTACGCTGAGCCAACACGCAGCGTATGGACACGGACGTCTTAAGCACGGCACGCGCTGCGTCTCACAGCGGGCGTATCCAGGCAGCTAAGGAACCCAACGGTATCGCGGCAACCATACAACGCCACCGACGTGCCACTGTGCAGTGCGGCTGAACAACAAACACGCTTCTCCGAGCGCGGTGGGTAAATACGCCGCGCAAAACTAAACGGAAGAAGGAAGAGGAGGTGATGGAGGATGCAGGATGAAGGTTGGGAATGATGTCGTCATTCGTGGTCCTCCTGGAACGGCCTCGTCGTCGCGGCTGGGTCCCTCAGAATCCGATCGGGGTGCGCCACAGGATATGCTAAGGGCATGAGGGAGTGTGTGAGGGGGATGTTTGGGGGGCGAGGGAACACGGAACAGCTGAAGAACAGCATCCGAGTCGAATGCTGACTAGACAGCAAGGAGGCAGCAGCCTCAGAGTAGGGAGCGGGGGGGCCGCTAGGTGGAGCCGCTCGACCAACGCGCAAAGAAAGCCGATGGTGTGACGGGGCCGGAGAGACGGATGGAGGGACCCGTTGCTCATAGTTACGCTATATGGGGGGATCGGAGGATCGGAGAATAATCAGAGGCGGAGGAGGAGGAAGAGGAGGAGGATGAGGAGGCATGGGAGAACGATGGTGGGGGAGAAAGGTGCACTTCTCGAGCTCCGAGGCCCCCTTTTGTGCCCCGAGGAGGCCCCTCAGGGGCCCCAAAGCCCCCTTTTCTGCAGCGCTCGCTGCCCCCCCCACGCGGCCTCCGAGCAGGGTCAGATTCCTGAGACGGCGGCTGGGATATTCAGAACCCGAAGCACGTCTGCAGCCACATGAGCCCCAGCGGGGGGGTCCGGTGCAAGGTTCGCAATCAGGCCGCACATCTCCCGGAATCGGTGTGTTCACCCAACGCCGCCTCTGGGCCGCCTCGGGGCCCGCAATAGGGGGCCACATGCGAACCCTACCCCTACCCCCTACGATTTCTGAGGGGGAGGGTGGGGTTCACTTCGCTCAGGAGCTCCCGAGCGAAGTGAACCCCACCCTCCCCCTCGGAAATCGTAGGGGGTAGGGGTAGGGTTCGCATGTGGCCCCCTACGCAATCGGCCCCCACGGCCGAAAGCCCTCGAGAACACCAGCCATAGCGGTCTCTGCAAGTCTCGGGTGGGCCGGCGGCCAAGACCTCCCCCTGAGATCCCGGCGGCTCCATTCGTTTCGAGCCAGGGCGTCTTCGCCTCGCTTCGGGCCCAGGGGCCCACACAGATCGATCGGCCTCCCTGAGATCCTGGCGACTCCATTCTTTTCGAGCCGGGCGTCTTCGCTTCGTGTCGGGCCAGGGGGCCCTCGCAGATCGATCTCGGGCTCGAAAAGAGATGCAGGAAGATGGGGTCCGGGGCTCCTGGCGCGGATTTGGACGATGTTACTACAATTTTGCGGGCAATGCTTATATCCATATCCGGTGCGTCGTGGACTTTCTTGGAAGGGGCGCCGCAAGGCCGAACCGCACTGGATGTGGATAAAATCTGGCCATTTCGGGTCAGACTTCAATCCATATCCAGTGCGCCTCATGTTTTGGGGGAAGAGAGCCCGAGACTCCAAGACGCTCTGGATGTGGATGTAGACATTGCCCGTACATGTTTCGCTACGTCGGATCTCAGGGCCTGCCAGAGGGCGCGGCGGCGAGGAGCTGAGCGGGCCGTCGGTCGGGCGCACGGGGGCTCCCGCGCCGCGGCTCGAGCCACGGGGTGGTGGGGAGAAGTCACTATCAGGGGCCCGGGGAGGCACACGTGAACCGACGCAAGCTCCACGGTTCCCAATCTTGATCCATACTGCACGCATGTTCCTCTTTCCCTCCAGTTCCAGCATCTTCCCATCGTGTCACGGCGACCAAGCCTCATCTATGAGCGAGGCTCTTCCTTTCTGAGCCCTGGAGGAGGAGGCCCAGACTGCCATGGTCTCCGAGAAATCGAGGCGGCCACCCTTTTTCTCAGAGCCCGTGCTTCTGCAGTCTCGTACCTGGCACCCGCGCCCACAGAAGACGACCCGGGAGCGCCCCATCCATGCGATAGGGGGGGTCAGATAGACGAGGAGGAGGAGGAGGACTGCAGGAAGGTCAGCAAGACGCCTGCATTACCCTCCCGTGTACAGTCATCGGCCTGACCTAAGGAACGATAAATAAGGAACGAAGCCCCTTTTGTACCCCAAGGGGTAACGCATAAGGGACGATAAATAACAAATAGCGCATAAGGAACTTCAAATAACGCATGCAAACCTAAGGAACGACCGAGCCCCTTTTGAAAAATAAGTGTTCCTTATTCAAGCCACCCACTGTACCCTCCCGTGTATGGGCCATGCTCCCAGAAGCCAACCCAATATAACCCTGTCACCGAATGGGAGATCATCGTGCGGATCGACCAACACGAATCAGCATTCGGCTTTCTCATAGCATGCATATGCATGGGAAGCGGCGGGCTGAGGTCACAGTGCGCCGTGCACGAGACGATGACAACACGCCATCTTTGATGGTCATACGGATAATGCAAAAGAGGAGCGATGAATGTCACGAAAATGCTATGCCACGCTGTAGACACGCTCAGCTTCAGAAGACGATCGGAGCGTGTGTGCAGAAGCCGGATGCTCCTGCGGATCGTCTATGCGGCGTGCCTATCTGGCATATCTGGCGCTGAAAGCTCCAACTGCCGGCGAACCTCCAAAGACATTAATACCTTCTTTTCGGAGCGGACGACAGGAGGGGATAGCAAAAGGGGGGAAGAACCCATCTTCTCCGACGCCTCTCTGCGCCAGGAGCACTTATACATCAAAAGCGGCGCCCAGCGACGAGGCCGAAACCAGCTGCACGCAGCAGTTTTCGCATGCCCCGCTCCCCTTCTCTTAATCCCCCCTTTCGTCCGAGCCGAGCTTTGTCGAGGAGAAGCGCTCGAAGGAGATCTGCTCGCCGTCCCTGAACAGCACAGGCTTGTACTCCTCGGGAAGACCGTCCATCGTTAACTGCTTGGTCTCGAACCGCTCGACGTTCGCGAGGAACCCCTGTATCGCGGCCCAGCCAACAGCACAAATCCTGTGGTCACGTCTCGGTTTCCAGTCGTTGAACCCAGAGAAGACCTCCATGAATCGAACGGCATCCTCTGAGGCAATTAAATTCACAAATGAATAGCCGACGTGGTACCCGGACTCGAAGTCGATGGGCAGGTCCGCCATCGCGCTGGCAACGGTTGGTGTGTGTGTGTGTGTGCTGGCACCCCACATTTTTTGCTACTGGTAACCATTCCCTCTACAAGATATTCTAGGACCCCCACCCTGGCGCATCGAGTCCCACGTGCGCTCACAGCTTGGACAACGCCACTGCGTGCTTTGCATCCCGCACAGCAAAGATGGCCAATAAAGGAGTCGCGGGGGAACCGTTGTGGGAGAACAAAACAACTATCAATGGCACGGCCCCGTGGGGAAGCCATGAGCATTCGAACAGAAACCATCCAGTAACACTCTGACGGGCTCCCAATGGCGGCGTAAATGATACTCTTTTCCTCGCCCGAAGGCCCCCCCTCTTAAGTCCACGCCTCCTCCCCACCGAAGGCCCCCTCCAGCCCCAGGCCCTCCCCACGCGGTGGCGGATCCGTGCGGCGGCGCAGCTGGATAGAGGAAGTCGTACCTGCCCGAGAACCCCTTGGAGTCCAGCAGGTCGATCAGCATCTGGCGCGTGTAGCAGTAGGGCAGGTTGCGCATCATCACCGTCGTGGGTGCCGCGCACGGCCCGCCTCCTGGAGCATGCCTGCCTCCGAGTGGTTCAGAGATGGGCTCCTGAGGGATGGCGTCCTAGGGACAGGAAGGGATCCAAGGGGGGGCTTACTTTGCTTGATTAACGGGCGAAGAACGGTGTAAAATAAACTGTTTCGCCGTCGGGGGCGCCTGTCCCTGGGCGGCTGGAAAGTTTATACCCCTTACGGTGGCACCGTAGGGGTATAAACTTTCCAGCCGCCCAGGGGCAAGTGTCCCCGACGGCGGAAAGTTTATGTTATACCGTTCTTCGCTCGCTGAGATAGGAAGGGATCCAAGGGGGGGCTTACCTTGCTTGAGGCACCTCGTCCTCAGGACCCCACCTTTGAACCACGGGTGCCTCTCCGGGGCGCGCCCGACAGGCGCACCTGCCCCTGGGAGGTGCGCGGTGCCCCCGCCACCCCGGGGACGGCCGCGGGGACGTAGGCGCTGGCCCTGGGGGGGGGAGCCAGAAGGTACCGATGCCGCTATACTCCTAGGTCAGGCATGCCCACCTACAGGCTGATTCTGGAGGGAAGCCAAGGCATTCTTCCAGAGAGAAGCTCCCCTCAAGGTCTTTTTGGTGCTGTGGGGCTACGGGGCTGATTGGCCTATATGGCGATGGGGGTATGGGGCCAGGGGGCTATGGAACTATAGGACTGTAGGCCATAGGGCTACAGGTCTATAGGGCTCTAGGGTCATGGGGCCATAGGGCTGCAGGGCTATAGGACTATGGGGCTCTGGGGCCATGGGGCTATAGGGCTATGAACACAAACGGCTATGGGGCTATAGGGCTATTGGACTATACGGCTATGGGGATTTAGGGATACAGGGCTATGGGGCTGTAGGGCTAAAGGCATATGACGCTATAGGGCCATAGGGCTATGGGGCTATAGGGCTAAAGGGCTAGACGGCTATGGGGCTGTAGGGCCATGGGGATATAGGGCTACTGGACTACTGGGTTATAGGGCAATAGGGCTATGGGGCTATAAGCTATGGGGCTATAGAGCCATGGGGCTATAGGGCTATAAAGCTATAGGGGTCTAAGGCTCTAGGGCAATAAAGCTATAAGGCTATGGGGCTATGGGGCTATCAGACTATAGGGCTGCAGGGCTACGGGGGCATTGGGCTATGGGGATATCAGACTATAGGGCTATAGGGCTATAAGGCTATAGGTCTATAATGCACCCGGGCACCTGGGCGGGCCGCGGAAATCGGTGGCAAACCTTACCTAATCATATGAATCCGCTAGGACTCCTACAGAGGCAAACTCTGATTGGGGAATCATTAACAACAACTCAAACATGGTCAAACAATTATAGGACAAGTGTCCCCAGACTACTTTTCGTCATACCTATGTTAGAATATTCCTCCTGTGGATGGACGTGCCCGACTTAACGCTACTCCCTGGACCTCTGCCGGGGTGCGTTCTGGCCAGACAGAAT